CCTCTGGACCCTCAAGGTTCCCCCCCTCTGCAGCTCAGCTCCATTTCCGAACAGGTACAGACCTGAACACTCACAACCAGCAAAAGACCTGGACCTCCACTAATCTCTCTGTCCTCCTCAGCAGTGAACCCACTCGTGACCAGACAAGCCCCCTCTTGGATCTGACCATACTTTGTACATTTATTATTAATAAATCTTTGAACTTTTTCATCTGCCTCCGAGTGTTCTGCATGTGGGTTAGACACATTAATCCGAACATGACAACAACAGCAGGCGTTAGTTTCGATTACGCAATCTCTTAGACATAGCATGAAGTTTTAAGATACGGAGCTTGTCTGGTTTCAGTATACGCTTTATAAAAGGTGTCGGGGTTACGAACTTCCACTTCTGTGCTTCTTAAATGAAAAACAGGAACTTCTGTGCTTCTCAAATGAAAAACAGGAAAGCATTCTTGCAAAACATTTGACCGTCTTATGACCTGCATACACTATTTCCAGTGAGAGTAACATAGAAAAACAAATGATTGAGAGCAATATAAAACATAAATGAATAAAATGATAAAAACAACAGAAATCATAATGACTCCAACAGTACTATGCACATGTGTTTTTAAGAATAGAGGCGCACTCCATTCCACGGGCAGAAGTGGATTCTGGGTTGCATTTCATTCTATCTACCTGTCTATGGAGGAGAATGTTAATGCAAGATGTTGAGTACCTTCTATCGGGATGAGAACTGGTCTGATCCAGTTCATCTGTAAATTGAGCCAAGTGGATGTAACCCCCTCGGGGTTGCATTTCATTCTGTCTACCTGTCTATGGAGGAGAATGTTACAAATGCAAGATGTTGAGTACCTTCTATCGGGATGAGAACTGGTCTGATCCAGTTCATCTGTAAATTGAGCCAAGTGGATGTAACCCCCCCTTTGCTTAGGAGGAGTTTGTTCCAAAGGGGCTGATGATGGGAGCTGACAGCAGATGGAATGTTCTGAGGAACACATCTGTTTGCTGTCAGATTATGGAGACGATTGATGTGTCACCTGCTGGGGAGCATGTCTGCCTGCTTTTCAGCCTCCCTGGACCTCTGCAGGTGAGCTATGGGCAGCAGCTGACCTGAACAGGCCAGAACCGGTTACCCAGTCTAAGTAAGACCCATTTTCTGATCTTACATCCTGAGAAATGTCGCTGACTTCCTGGTAGGGATGATTTTCTGAGTGGGGATTGGTCTTCTCTGAAAAGAGGTGGACCAAAATGGAGGTCTTTCCTGAAAAGATCTGAGGGGATTGTGGGGGCTTTCTACCTGGGCCTTCCTTTTCCACTAAGTGTAATAAGGAAGTTGTGGAAGGTAAGTCCCTGCCTAGTCATGCTGGTGAAGGCTTCAGGTCAGGTTTTCCTGGAGGATTTTCATGTTCAACTGGGGTTTGAGACTTCAAACCCCAACTTCTCTGTTCTGTGAAGTCCTCCAATCCTGGAAAGCTCTCCTTTCTTGGGGGCCAGTATCACGATTGCATGATCCATTTTTGTCGTGAAGATTGTGGAGGAAAAGATATTTTAGTGAGTGGTCTTCCTCCAGCTTGACAAAGAGAGGAATAGTGGTCTCGAACAGAGGGCTGGAGGCTCTCTATGAACACAGGCACGCTTCTTGAAGTAGTTTTCCAGATTAACTTTAACTGCTCCTGGGTAGAGGGATGGGGTAAGTCTGAAGAGAGCGTTCTACCTCTCTAAGGTAGTCTTCAATAGTGGATTCAGTGTTGCTGGGGTCAAAACACTCTATGTCGTGGGCGAGGGATTCAAGTTGTCACATTCATAATCCCGTTCTGGGATTGGAGCTGGGCTATCTGAATCCTCATCTGAGAGCTCTAGCCAGCTACTGTCGTGGTAGGGTGGAAAGCTCTGCTCTGACCTCCGTGAAGGCATGTGAGGCCGCTCATGGTGCACTGGTGGGCCTGTTACTCCGTAGCCATTAGGCCATGGCCTCGGCTCAGGGCGGTACCGCTCACCAGTGTCCCATTGTTGGCTGTACAGCTGCCTTTGTGGCAAGGGTGTGTCATAGCAGATCTCTTTGTGAAAAAAGAAAAGTTGGATGGTTTTAGATGGTTCATCCAATTGATTTGGCTCCATTGTGGCAATATATCCCAACACCTCTCTGATGCGATACTGGTCCCTGAGACACAAAGATAATGCTTTGCAAGGCGAGCCAACAGTTGATTCTCCCTTTCATTTGCTTTCCACCTGATCAGAGGATTCTCATTCAGCCCTGCAGGAGATTCAGCTTTGCATCTTCTGACTAAATCTTCAGCCCTTATTGCTGGAGTTTTTAGTCCGTGATCCTTTACTGTTGGTAAATAAACTGTCCCAAGGAGAGACTCCAAGGTACTGGATTTCTTTGGCTTCTTGGGCAAAGCTTCCTTTGTTTTTTCATCCGTATCATTGCCATTATTATCTTGCTGTTCAATTGGACAAAAAAAAAAAAAGATTGGGCATACTTTAGCTCTTAAATTAAGTAATTTTCTTTGTAATCCAATCTTTTAATCATGAATGAATGAATGCGTTGTTTCCACTGCACAAACTATATTTGCAGCAATGTCCATTACAACTTCTGGGTGTTTGCTGCTCAGCCCCCATTTCTGTATGGCCCCCGTCAACATATTAGCAATATTTGCAGCAGTGTGGCTCAAGGTAACTTCAGTGGCCTGTAGGACATGAGACATGAGGCGCCACTCATTGTCAATGTAGTGTTATACAGGACTGCATTGACAGTGATGTCCATGTGTCACAAGTTATGCTGACTCTGCTAACTGCATTTTCATTTGGATGTTCCCTTTCACTCGTGTGTACATCATGGGGATAACGGTGTCGGTCAGATGTTTGCGTTGCACCATGACATAGTGTGGTTGGAGCACATGAACGAGCTGCTTAAAGCCTTCATTTTCCACCACAGAGTAGGGCCGTAAATCTTTGCACTCAAAAGTTGCGATGACCTGAGTTATCTTAATGGCCCGCAGAGAATTTGCTGGTAACGCTATCGAATCCCTCCATTTTTTTTGTGTAGCTCTGGAGGCTTTGTTGTCAGATTTTAGCATAGCATGATATCTTGTCAGGTGATTTTGGAGATTTGTAATTTATTAACAGTAACTGACCTCCGCTTGACAGATCTTGCAGACCACTTTGGCTTTATCCACCACATTGTCTTTAGTTCTTTTAAATCCGAAATGGTTCCAGGCGTCAGACTTTAATTGGGACGGCTTGCTGAGTGGTGTGCTACTTGCGTCGGCCATTTTGCATTTGCCCACGCCTGCTCTTGTACATCAACGTCACTCTCTTCTCTAAAAAACTAATCGATCTCATTCCCTACACATCGATTTTGTAAAATTTTACTGGAATCGATCCAAAATGGATTACCGTATTTTCACGACCATAAGGCGCACCGCACCGTACTAAAAGGCGCACTCTCAGTTATGTGTCCCATTTCTGTATTTAACACACACATAAGTGGCAACGGACTATAGGGCGCGTTTTTTATATACAGGTACATGTCCTCTACTACCTTTAAATACCTCTACTGCGTATTTAAAAATACAGCGGGGGCAAAACTGAGTATGACTGTGCTTTATTCATGTATTTATTACAAAGTATTAATCAAACCCATCAAAGTCATCATCCTCTGTTTCTGAATTAAACAGCTGCGCTAAATCAGACATGCCAATTTCCCCTTCTTCGCTGTCAGTCACTTTCCGTGCCGGGCGGCTCCTCAGAAATAATGCCTGCTTTTGCGAAAGCTTGAACAACAGAGCCAGCAGACACGTTAGTCCAAGCATCTGCAATCCATCCGCAAACTGTGGCGTAACTTGCCCGGCGCTGCCTTCCACTTATCCTGAAACTGTGGTCTCCGTCGGTCATCCATCGCTCCCACGCCGCTCGCAGCCTTACTTTGAACGGCCGTTTCACACTGATGTCGAGCGTATGAAGTTCCTTTGTCAGACCTCCCGGGATAATGGCGAGCACAGCATCCATTTGATTCACCATGTTTTTCTCATCAGCTGTGAGATGAGCACGCATGGAGTCACAGATTAACTGCGATGGTGATGCGTGGAAAAAAACACCTGTTCTCCTCACATACACCTGCCTCAGCCACGCTTTCATCATCTCCTCATCCATCCAGCCCTTTTCATTTGCGTTAATATCATATGTCATCAGAGCGCTGTGTCTGTCTCGCTGTCAGCTCCCAGATCAGCTTCTCTGATTGGTTGATGCGGCGCGTCCAGCAGCAAAACTTCAATTTTTCCATCTCGAGCAGCAGCAGCGTGTTGGCGGTGCGTCAGATGCTTAAACGCTCCCGACGCAGCGCCTGCTGCTCAAAACGCACTGCGGGACCTTTTGCTGCGCCTATATGCGCGTCAACCATTGACTTTGCATGTAAACTCGCTGCTTCTGCTGCACTTGCTGGGTCCGGTTCACACCGATGTCGAGCGGTTGAACAGCGAGCACAGCGTTAATTTGTTTCCCCATGTTTTTCACATCATCTGTGAGATGGGCACGCATGGAGTTACATATTAACAGCGATGGTGATGAGTGGAAAAAAAACCACCTGGTCTCCTTACATTCAGCCACTCTTTCATCATCTCCTCAATGAGGTGGTCTCAAAAGTCGCAGTTACAACACACATAGGGCGCACCGCACCAAAGGGCGCACCGCACATTTTTAGGAAAAAAAAAGACGTTTAAGTGCGCCTTATAGTCGTGAAAATACGGTAAAATGATTTTTTTTTTAACCCACCCCTATTAAAGATAAAAGTGGAGGTCCAAATCTGTGACTGTACTATCAGGTTGCATGATGGGAGATGTAGTTCCAGTCTGATGGTGTATGTAGTTAGATTGACACAATGATGATTAAAGGATCCACTTGCCCCCCGAACTGAAGGACAGAGTTTGGTGCTTTTATGTGAGGTGTCCTTTCTTTAACTTGCAATAATAAGTCTGTCTGCTTTTTTTTGTCTTTCAGACCACCTGCAGGATTATGTTGAAAAAGAGGAGGATTTCTCTGACCAGCAGCTCTGTGGACAGGAGAGGAATTCCAGTTTGGACCAAGAGGAACCAGAACCTCTGCAGATAAAAGAAGAGCAGCAAGAACCAGAACATTCCTGGACTAAAGAGGAAACCATGGAGTCCCCCATTAGTGAGCATGAAGAGCAGCAACCTTTCCCATGTTTGACATGTGGAGAAACTTTTCTAAATAAAGAACATTTAATGGTTCACATAAGAACTCACAAAGGTCAGAAGATTCATGAATGTCTGTCCTGTGGAAAAATTTTCAAAAAGAAATCTGATCTTGATAAACACATGAGATTCCACACAGGTGAGAAGCGTTTTGAATGTCTGTCATGTGGAAAAATCTTCACCTCCAAGTCTGATCTTAATATTCACATGAGAATTCACAGAGGTGAGAAGCCTTTTGAATGTCTGTCCTGTGGAAAACGCTTTACTCAGAAATCAAGTCTTGATAGACACATGAGATTCCACACAGGTGAGAAGCCTTTTGAATGTCTGTCCTGTGGAAAAAGCTTTACTATGAAATCTAATCTTGATAGACACATGAGAATTCACACAGGTGAGAAACCTTTTTCCTGTACCATTTGTAACAAGAAGTTTACTGAAAAAAGTCATTTGACTAGACACATTAAAATTCACACAGGTGAGAAACCCTTTTTATGTCTGTCCTGTGGAAAACACTTCACTCAGAAATATAGTCTTGATGAACACATGAGATTCCACACAGGTGAGAAGCCTTTTGAATGTCTGTCCTGTGGAAAAAGCTTTACTATGAAATCTTATCTTGATAGACACATGAGAATTCACACAGGGGAGAAACCTTTTGAATGTCTGTCCTGTGGAAAAAGCTTTACTCAGAAATCTAGTCTTGATGAACACATGAGATTCCACACAGGTGAGAAGCCTTTTGAATGTCTGTCCTGTGGAAAAAGCTTTACTATGAAATCTTATCTTGATAGACACATGAGAATTCACACAGGGGAGAAGTGTTTTGAATGTCTGTCCTGTGGAAAACGCTTAATTCAGAAATCTCATCTTGATGAACACATGAGAATTCACACAGGTGAGAAACCCTTTTTATGTCTGTCCTGTGGAAAACGCTTCATTCAGAAATCTCATCTTGATGAACACATGAGAATTCACACAGGTGAGAAACCCTTTTTATGTCTGTCCTGTGGAAAACGCTTCTCTCGGAAATCTAGTCTTGATTCACACATCAATCACATACATTTGTGAGAACGGTTTTAAACAAGAAGTTAATTTGAGTCTTCAGGTGACATTTATTCATGCAGGATGTGGAATGATTTATATTTATATTTTTTTACACATTTGTTCCATATAAGTCACAGCAGTTAGACGCCGCAGGAAGGAACAGTAGAGGCGTTTTCTATGTTTGAATGGTGATAAAAAGAAACTACCTCATTACATGAGAAACCCACAGTTAATGATCTTTTGAGCAAAGTTTTGATGAACCGGTTAATTAATAAAGCTCATTTCACATAGAAACTAGAACAGATAAGGTGTTATAATGTAAACCTGGTAAATATTCAGGTCCTGGGCGAATATGTGGATGTGAACATCAGAAAGTTAATTATTTTGGGTCTGAGAAAGTTTAAATGGCCAAAAAAATTTCCTAACAAAAAGATGTTAACATTCACAAATGTTTTTACCTTTTCTGTTATGAGGGAATAAACATAATAAAGTGCAGCAACATTTCATCTAAAACATCTTGGTTACAGATGAAGCTAGTTTGCTGTCCATACAACAGGCAATCGAGAAGTTATAGATGTTTAAATTTAAAAAATCCAGACGGACCCCTGCTGTGCCATGCATGGTGTGGCACAACTTTTTTGATTGAAAAATTTTTGGAATAAAAAACAAGTTTTATTTTTGGGACTAAGAACCTTTTAGCTGAATGATGAGTTATTGGTTGGATATATTCCAGAAACAGACTTTTATTCTGATTAAAATAAAAGCAAAGGTTGGACAAACAATATGTCTTTTGATTATTTCATGTGTTTACTGATGAGTAAAGACGATGCTAACAGGATGGACTGCATGCTACGCTATGCTATGCTATACAGAAACATGTGTTGAGCTGTTGCTAAAGCTTAGACAAGCTTTATTCACTAAGGGTTAAACACTGATATAACATTAGTGTTCATGTGTTCCTCAGATGCTCATTACATTTTCATTAGAAAGTATGACCAAGAGTCATTTAGTGGAATCCTGATGTCTATTCGCTGCTAACTGTTTCAAAGAGGGTAAAGAATCATTTAACTAAAGTTAAAAAGCTCATTTGATCATATCCTAAATTCTTCCAGATAAACTTTGGTTTTCAAATTCAAAATCCATCCTTAAACTGTAATATAGTTTTCAACTATGTTTCCCTTCCCCTTTGTACTTAGTGGGTTAGTTTAGTTGAGTTTTACTAGTCTTAAGAGTGTTAAAGTGAAATATGTTTGACTTGGAGCTGAATGATTTTTCTTAATAAACTCTTATATTTTGAACAGAAGTTGTGGTGAATTTATTCCATGTTTGTGCAGAATTAACTGTTAGAGCTCAAATCACTCTTTCATCTATTGTTCTAACACACAGTTAGTAGGGCTGTGTGTCATAAACAGTATATAACAGCCAAAACAATATCTGATTAAATAAGCATCTTAAAGTATCAGAAATATAAAGTCCCAGCTGGCTGGGAATAGAAAAGAACATAAAATCACAACAGCTGAAAACAATAAATAAAAAACCTCATATTGAATCAGCAGAGATATCTAGAAGAGGGTCCAACGGGTCTCATCAGAAAGAACCAGAACGACATGCAGACAGCAGTGAGTGGGCGGAGCCAAGATGCCTGGACAGGTGAGGAACAGCCTTCTGGAAAAGAACTACAAAAATCCAAAGTTCCATAAATTTAGTGAACAACTGAAGCTTTCTGCTATGAAACCCCAAACATATGAAGGCGAGGCCATGTCAGGAAATAATGGACTTTGATCAAACTCTGTGAGGTGGGCTGTGCCTTTACGTTCTGTCACACAAAGGATTGTGGGTAACCGTATAGCGGCCCTCAGAGACGTCCCTATGCTAACTGCATTGGAACTAGGAAGCATCCAGCCTCCTGGTCCTAGCTCCTTCCTAACTGCCAGCACTGTTCAGGTAGGACTTATTATGGCGACTGCTGATGCACTGCCATAGGAGGAAGCAGGAGTACCCAGAGAGAACCCACACATGCACAGAGAGAACATGTGGGCTCCATACAGAAAGACCCCAGGCTGGGAATCAAACTCAGAACCTGCTGCAAGGCAGCAGAGCTACAGACTGCAGCCCATCCAACCTTCCTCCAATCCTCTTTCTGGATTTCCTAGAACCCTTCTCACCGTAGCTCCTTTCTTCTTCTTTTCAATTAGATTCTGAAAGTTCTGATTTCTTTTTTAAAACCTTAAAAGCTTAATTTGTAGATTTAATAACCGGATCACATTCTGTTGTTCTCCACGGTACAATCTTCTTCTTGTTGTTTTTCCTGCCTTCCTTCAGAATCTAATGATGAACAGCTTCTAGAACAGAATTCCAAAATGTTAAATTGAATGAACTGATATCAACACTCATGTCTGCTTCCTTCATTCTTTCTTCACTTCTTATCTTCTATTTCTCCCAGTCAGCTCTACTAAAAGACCAATAAACAATCCTCCAGGATCCTCCTGCTTATTGAAGCCGACTTCAATCAGATCAGGAAAGTCTTTCCTTCCAATAGTTGTGCCTTTAATAATCTTCCAGGATCAGAGTCCTGCCAATGAATCAGAAACTAATGTTAAATCAGTTACTGGTTATTGAGGATTATGCTTTATGAGAATCTCCAGTGTCTCATGCAGCTCTGCTGATTAATGTTAGTTTTTTCCTCTCACCATTTTCTATCAGGTTCAGTTGTTTTTGAACTTCCTGTTTTATTCTGAGCTCAAATTGCAACAGGAGGACTATTTCCTAAAACGGTGATTTGTAAAGGCAATAGATTGTCTTCAATTTCATTTAGGGGTATCAGTGTACAGAGGTCTGAACATTAATGCTCGCTGCACTTTTTCTACCTCATTTAGTAAAAAACAAACCAAATATTTCTCTTTTATGAAGCACTACTATGGGACGGTTTATGACCTGTAGTCCCAATCAAACACTGAACTTTCAGAAAATGAGACAAGAAATGTGAGAAAGATATAAAGGGTGTGAATATTTTCTCCTGCACTGAATAAATCATGTTTCACAGAAGCACATCAGCTCTTAGACCTTCTGTTCGATGCTTCTACCTTCTGCCAAAGTAGCCTTCATCATCCTCATCATCCTCGTCGATCAATGAGATATCAGGCAGAGAGGCGACCAGGTTGGTCTGCCTCCTGACACCAAGAACTCCTGCCTCCTCAGCGTATGAGTGAAGCTGAAGGGATGGAGGGAAAAGATGGGAAACATTTCAGGGAAAAAGAAAAGTTTCTTAGTAATACGCATGCATACAACCATGATGAGGTTAAATGAGAATGAAATGAAGGTTTCAGAAATCTATTGAAATAAAGACTAAAAATAATAAAAGAGCTCTGTGACAGAGAGAAACAAGAACTCCTTTATTTCTAAAGCACTTCACCATATTTATCACCAAGTGCTTTAAGGTTGGAAGCTCATTTCTATCAGAAGCTGCAACTGAATATCAACAAAGAAGAATTAGCAGCAATGTTGAAAGCAACCATCAGACTGAGAGGCAGCAATATAAAGAGAGGCTTAACATTAAAGGAATGAGCAGTGGACTCAGTGCAACACTTGCTAAAGGATTATATATTGCAAAGAACGGTGCAGAGCCGACATGGATAAACGGCCTAACATGATGAGAGCCGCATCTTTGACCTGCTGCACCGCCATGTTTAAAGAAAAACAACCATGGAGCTTGTTTGAATGTTTCTCTCCTTGTTCCTGTTTCCAACCATCCAAATAGGATGTCAATGTTTCCTAGTATTGCCATAAAAAGACTTTGTCTATTTCCTTTAAAGATGTTAAGTTATCAGTATAGTGGGCATTATAAGGTACATTTATAGGTTCTCTGTCTAATTTGAATTATAAAGCCCAAACAAGATGATTAAAAATAAATAAAAGTAATGGCTGACACTACATCACAACCATGAAAGTTTAGTTTTATTCAATTAAGGTTAAAATAGCTGCTCATCTTTTCCAAATCGTTCTTTCAACAAAGAACATCCATCAAAAATGAATGTAAAATAAAATATAGTGAAGATAAAGAGTGTCTGTGCTTTAAATGTGCACATCACAGACACCCTCACCTGGACTGGAAACACCACCTCACTGGTCCAAAGGGCCCAGAAGTGCTTGGACCTTCTGTGGAGGATGAGGAGAGCCCCTCCTTTATTATTTTCAGTTATGATAAATGATGCATTTAAAGAAGCAGAGAATGAAATGGGCTGTTCTCTTTATGCTCTTTAGAAAACCTTTAAGTTTAAACTGGATTAAAAACAGAATAATCAAAATAATGTGATAGTGTCTGATAGTATAGCAGCTTTATTAAGGATTGAATCAAATCATTGAAAAAGTAAAGATATTATTGATGGTATTTATCATCCTCTGAACAAACTACATGTAAAGAAAATAACAGTAGAATTTGTTTGGGTTCAGCTCATGTTGGAGAGGAGGGAAACAAAGAGGTTGATCTTTGAGCTAAACAGGAACTAAAATCTAAAAATGTTGATCTAGAAAATCCTTTAAGGTTGAATGTAAATAATAATAATAATGTTAGAAATATGTCAGGAAAACTGGGACATAAGTGATAAAGAGGGAAACTGATATAAAATTCAGAAAAATGTGGAGATAAAAGGAAAGCAGGAAGAAAGAGGAGAATAGAATCAATAATTTCATGATGCAGAATTGGTCAAACAGGTTTGAATAGTTCACTTCATTTATTATTGAATATATTTCCAGTGAAAAGGAATTAAAAGATCAAATATTGTTCATATTCACTAAATTATTACAGAGAAAATAGTTTGTTTGGTTTTTGCTGTAAATCTGCTGTTGACACTCCAGTCCAGCAGGTGGCGGTAATGCGCCTTTATAGTTGGTCTGCCAGCTGCTATAAAGAGAAGAACAACAGGCCTCGATGCGACCAGACTGGACAGAACAGCAGCTAGCAGCATTAGCTTAGCTTGTGTGTGGAGTCATTGTAGAGAGGCTGATAATCTGGGAGTGTTTGCAGTGAGAATGTCTTCAGTCCAGCTTCAAGGAGAGTTTATCACCGAGCAGTTAACTCCTGCTGAAGAAACATTCACGGAGTTTAAAGGGAGTTTGGTCAATTCGGAGGAAAAGATGGACGATCAACATCTACTGCTGGATTTCACCAGGATCCCCCAGATCATCTTACACCGGATAGGTAGGAAACACCTGATAGAAACGATTCCCTGATGATGCACACTGTGGATTTTAGCCTCATCTGATTGGAAAACTGCTTAGAGGAGATCAACATGCTAAGCTAAAGCTAACTTCCGGTTGATAGTGGGAGTCAATCAGAATCAGAATCAGAGAATCAGAAATACTTTAATAATCCCAGAGGGAAATTACTTTTGTTACACGCTCTAGTTACAGTTTTACATGATATATACACACATCCAACTATACAATATAATAAGATAAAAAATAAGAATAAAAAGAGATAAAATATATATACACATATAGCTCTTCTGTACATATATCTGTATGTATATCTATGTATATGTAAAAACTAAATCCAAATAAAGTGAAAAGTCCAATTAAAGTGAATAAATCCAAGTAAAGTGATATGTGGCGTGCAAAAATAGTGCATAAATGTCAATTACGGACGGGGGGGGGGGCTGAATCACTTGAGGGAGGCGTTATATAGGTTGATGACCACAGGTAGGAATGATTTCCTGTGGCGCTCTGTGGAGCATCTGGGTAGGAGGAGTCTTCTGCTGAAGGAGCTCGTCTGCTGGACCAGTGT